TCCGTTTTACCCACTATGAAATTGATCACCTCATCAGGGGCTGGCCCCCAGGAGTGCCTGGCCACCAGCCATGCCTGTTCCATGACTGGTAGGAAGCCTACGAGTGCGAGCTCTGGGCTGACAGCATGCAAGAGCTGTCAGGTTGTTAGGTGCCAGCGAATTGGTTCCAACTCACGGTGACCCCGTGTAGCGCAGAATGAAACTCCGCCCGGTTTGGTGCCAGCCTCATCATGCCTCTCATGTGGAGCCCTTGTTGCAGCTACTATGTCCATCCCCCTTATAAAGAGCCATCCTCTTTCCTCTGCCCCTCCACCTTACCAAGTGCGATGTCCTTCTCCAGGGACTGGTCTCTCCTGACAACATGTTCAAAATATGTAAAACAAAGTCTCTCCATCCTTACTTCTAAGAAGCACTCTTGCTGTACTTCAGCCAAGACAGATTTGTTGTTGTTGTTGTTGTTGTTGTTATTGTTCTCTTGGCAGTCTACGGTACTTTCAATGTTCCTTTCCAGCACCGTAATCTGTGAGATCCAGCCTCACATCTGGATGGGGCCTAAGGGGCGATTATGTCATTGAGGGGAAGAAATTAAGAGGCAGACAAAAGTTTTGGGGTGCTCACCTCCACTATGACTCCAGGAACCAGGTCCAAGCAGAGAGAAAGAAGTTGTATTCTCATCATCATCTTATATATTCTCAGGGCATGCAAGCCCCTCTAATTATAGGTAGCCGCATATGGAACAAAGTGGGCTGTACTCTAACCCTAAAGGTCCATGAGTTCATAGGAGGAGTAACCTAACACCAGTGCTGGGGACAGGTTAGGGGGACTGACAGTCCCCTGAGCAGGAAGAGCAATCGCACATGTCGGCTTCTATAGTTGAAGTTGCTGCCTAGATAGCAAGTAGCCACGTGCTTGTAAGAGGAGGCTTTAAAGCAGCACAATTAAGGGAGGATATTATGGGGATCAATCTTAGTTATGAGAATGTGATTGGGACACATCTCTAACCCACAAATATGAATGCCTCCCACCACCCAGAATCCCCATCTGCCAGGCTTCTTAAAATATGAGAATACAGAATTCATCCGCATACGCACTCTTCCCAGCCCTCTGTTTCCCCCAATAATCCAAATGTATCAATTCCTCTTTGGTCTTCCTTATTCAATGTCCAACTTTCACATGCATATGAAGCCATGGAAAATTCAGCAAGAGTTATAGTCGGGTAACTTTTCTGGCTTCGTAGGGTAGTTCCTCTGAGGTGTTCTCATAGGCTAGCCACTTTCACACCTTTCCAGGGACCATGGAAAGGTAAAATGGCCACGTGGTGTTTAAGTCCATCAGGGTCCCTGATGGGGGCATCAGGGACTATCATGAGAGAACACAAATTCCTGGGCCACTACTGGGAGGTCTGAGAGATCCCCCAGGTACTCTAAAACGCTTCTCCTGCACAGAGATAATTCAGCCCTCCCCTCTAAGGGCATAGTGGGTAATGCCATAAGGGTAGGCTGTAAACATGCAAAGTCACAGGTCCAAACCACCAGCTGTTCCTGGGGAGGAAGAGGGACTTTCCACTCCATGAAGATGTACAATCCTGGACACCCAGAAGGGCCCTTTTATTCTGTCCTACGGGGTCACTACGAGCCAGAATGGACTCCATCCATGGCAGTGAGTTTGGCTTGGTTTGGTAGCCCCTCTTCATCCCAGCTGGCCTGAGGGAGAGGAAGTGCCTAGACCTGCTGCAGGCATGGTGGGAACTCCCAAGGAACAAGGGCAGACCCAAGTAAGTAGTGAACGGGCTCTGCCCTGGCATGGGAGTCTGAGGAGTAGCTATGAGGGGTGCTGGTGTCAGTCGGGGCAAGGTGCATTCTGCCCATGCCTCCTCCCAGAGCTAGGGCACCTGAAGACTGAGCTAAGGGGAGGCAAGGGTGCCCGGTAGGTATAAGCAAACAAAACTGACTGTCATTGAATCCATTCGGATTCATAGCAACCCTACAGGACAGAATAGAACTGCCCCTGTGGGTTTGTGAGACTGTAGCTCTTTACAGGGGTAGAAAGCCTCCACTTCCTCCCTGGGGCGGCTGGTGATTTTCCAATTGCTGACCAACATGTAAACCAGTACATCACCAGGATTTGGGGGCGGGCACATAGTGGGTATCAATATATATATAGAGAGAGATCCCTGCTCCTCTCTCCCCTCCATCAGCCCATGCCAGGAATGTCTTCATACCCCTTCCATCTCAGAAAGCTAAGGCTCAGAGAGTGGAGAGCAGCAGGAGCCTCCAGTTGGGAAGCTCCCATGGGTCATCTGACACGGTCACAAAACCACAGTGGGGAGCACAATGGCAAGCCAGCCTGGGCGGATTCACGCCCTGTTTGTACTGTGCCTCGCAGTTTGCCAAGGGACCTGGAAACCGGAGACCGGATATGGAGAGCATACAAGTGGACAGGGCTGTTGGGCTGTCCCAAACACGCACAGGAAGAACTGGGAGAGGCAGGATGTCGGGAGAGTGATTTCGAAAGCCTAGAATAATGTTAAATCTTAAGTTACCAGCCACCCGACCCCTAAGCTAATTTTAAACTTCGACATCAGCAACCCCCTGAGCCTTTTGGCTGACTTTGTTTTTTTCTTTTTTAATGAATTAGTGAGTGAATTAGAGAGTGAGTGAGTGAGTGAGTGAATGAGAGAGAGAGTGAGAGAGTGAGTGAATGAGAGTGAGTGAATTAGAGTGGGTGAGTGAGTGAGTGAGTGAG